ATAAGAACTTGGCTGTGACAAAACACACTAAAATGAATTCACAACCCCCTCCCCCCTTGTAACCATTTTCCGTTTATTCAAGACCCAACACTGGACGACAATCAACTGCACAGCATTCGATCACCACACATTGAAACATTATCGTCGTAAAACAAAAATCTTCACCATTCACGACCTCACATTATTCCGATATAGTTTGAACTGATTTGCTTACGGTGAGTGACAGGGCTAAAGTTGTCCGGATTGACGCTAAATGACTACCAGTTGTGGCTAAAGAATTGCGATTGTTCTCAACGGAGGATAGAGGAAAGATTTCGTTTGAATTGTCAGTCAGTCAGTGCCACCATGTTTTTTCTCTTCACTCGCCCCCTCCTCCTCCTCGTCTCTCTCTCTCTCTCTTATTCTGATTCTCAGAGACAATTCACCGCATAACAACACATTGACCGCGGATGATGTACTGGAAAGTCTCATGCGGCTATCGAATTGGTTCACTTTGTTCGCGGTCTCCAAAAACATTTCCGTGCTTCCGGTGATCGGAGAATACGATCTGTTCCCGGCGGCCGAAATTTCTCCACTCAAGGGAAACTTGAGACGTGAGGAATGGTGCCACCGTCTGGCCACGGAATCGGACTATTGGTCCCGATGGATTCAAGAAGCGGAAGAGTCTGTGAAACATGAGCATGGATTGCCAAAAGCTTTGTTTAACGAAAGTGAGTCTCAAACCTGATTCGGTCAGACAGGAATTTTTCTAAAACGCAGCCATTCCACTTCTCTATTGCGGTAAAACATGGTTTTATATGCTGAGATACAACACAAATGTTCATTACTTGATATGTTTGTTCGACAGTCTCTTGCAAATGGTTTGTCTAATTTCGCACAAGACGATTGAAGTAACTGTCACGGTTTGATAACCTTATTAGAGCAACATCACACAGTCGGTTCTTTGAGTTCACGCGTTCCGTTCGAACTTGAGCAGGAACGTTCAAATATGATCACCATCCGTAACTGATTATTATTGACCAACTCGTTTCGGGGTGTCCACCTTGATTCTACACGATTTGCATCCTGTATCAGCTAAATGATTCCGCCCTCGCATTTTTGTCCGCACATCCGGAACTAGGTTGTTTCGAATAATCAGCGTGACTTGACTATCACATTTAGAGACTAAACGACATACCATTGGGCTTTGAAGGCTGACTACAATCATTGAGAATACATCCTCCCAACGGTAAAAAACAAATCTTTCAAAACTGTTGCATCACTTCAGAATTTATCTCCCAAGTCTGCAAACTCGAGGAGTCGTTCACTGTCTGAAGAAGTCCAATATGCTTCACAGTGGCGACTAATAAAGGCTACATCATGTTGGGATATGCCAATCTGCTGCAGGGGAGAGGGACGTGATCCGGTTACTTCTAACATGTCCTTTTGATAACCCATGTTGGGTAATGGCTGAATGTTTTTCCAGTTTCTCTTGCAGCATACTATTCTTATAGGAATTTCGTGTGTATCGTTTGGGTTCAGCTTATCAGCACCTAAACTGTCTACTTCCTTCTTTGATAGGGGCTTGCCGTACAATCTCCTCATTCAAAATTCATATACGCAATTGGTAACATCGCGTGAGGATATTGAATCCGGGTTTCTTGGGATCGCTTGATTACTGATTGTAGGTTGTGGCATCGACTTCACAGTAGTAGTGTTGTATTTCTAAAAGGCGGTGCCTGGTCAAGGATATTTGTTTATTGTAGATCACAGTTAGCATATCATTCTCATTTGAAACATATCATCGCAGTTCCCAGCAGCACACCGGGTAATGAATGCAGTAGTCGATTTTTATTCTTTGAGACAGCAATTTGCCCTCGGTAGTCTTCTTAATTCTTGATTGTTGAAAGAAACCACCAACCACACTATCTTGCATATTACTCACTAATGTGAGTAGCACCTCACAACAGTAGTAATAGTAGTAGTAGTTGTTGTTGTTTCTGATGAACTAAAGTATCTGGCTCGACGAAACAGAGTTTTCACCACTGCAAGTTTGCTAGCCACGGGCGAGAAACTAGAGAACCGTGGACACTGATCGGCCCATGTTGCATTCCGGTGAACGGAACGTTGTAATGTACTTCTAATATCTAAAAATGCCAAGGAATCGTTGGCTTCTTCTTCATGTGATACCGAAAGATGTGGATACACAGAGATGAATTCTTTCAAACGGGATTCAAAATGTTCACTCACGCTCTGCAACATGATAAATGTTGTCCACTTATGTTCTGTACAAGGTGAACTGAGAGATATCATTGGCAACTTTTTTCAATCATTCCCAAATAAATATATTATTTAGACTTGTACCTAATAGACTGTTCATGTCTACACCACCGAGTTGTTTGTATGTGGCCCTTTTGAATTCAAAGGAATTGTTTTCAGTATACAAAAATGGCAATTCTCTCAAGTGTTCAAGAGGGACAATGAGGGGGAAAATGTACGAAGAAATATACACACATAAAACAATCGACTGTTACCTGACGGGAAACATTGATGAAAGGGGAGTCCACATCTATGGAACACATCATTTGTAAGAACATCGTCAAATTTTCTAAGCATTTTGAGAGTTCAATAGAATATTATTCATAATGAAGTATTAAGGTCCTACAGATCGGATTTATAATTACCATGAACCATCGAGCGATATGACGATGTCTTCACACTAAACCAATATGCTTGTTTGTTTTACGTCAGCGATGGTGAAGATTAAACGAAATTCCAACATCTGGCGGCACGTGTCTTTTTCGGGTCTGGATGCGATCGATGGTTGAGGACACTGCGATGTTTCCAATGGAATATTTTTTCACCAACACGATAGGAAACAATGGTCAAGAGGTTGACATATATATATATATGTTATTAGAGTAAGGCGCTCCAACATTAAAAGAACCCGTTATTGAGTATGTAATTGGCCGTCTGGAATATAGTCAAACAAGCGAAATGATAGTCGCGTAGATTGAAGAGCGCGGAATTCCCACACAACTTCGGTAACCATAGACAGTTCTCTGAATAATCTGGTGGAACGGCAAATTGCACAAATAAATTATGAGTACCCACAGACAAACCACAACTTATGCATCTGATATTATGTTCATTTATAAGAAATAATTACACTGCACCAAAAGCGACTGATGTCCTGAACCGTATCTTACCACGTGCCAATAAAGCTACTCACCATCATTCAATAATACCTCTACACTTTGACTACCGATGAAATTACGAGTAGGGGTATTTGTCGGGTCTTGAAGTCATTTTCAGAATTCACTGCGATTGCTCCATCGTTTCACATTATGTTTTCCCTCTCACTCGTGATCTTGAACAGGTAAATTCCCTCTGACTCTCTCTCTCTCTGTGATCTGATTGTATCATTTTACGCGATTTGCGGGACTTGGAATCCTTCAACTCGACACAAGACTGTTTGATTACCGGCTTGTACTTTTGTGGTGCGCTTATTGTCACGTGCAGTCCATCCGTGTGGTGATGGCACTACTGCTGTACAGTCAAAGATCACTGGACCTGCTATAGACTCGCGACCATATACGAAATGCGGTTTCTCGCTAGGGTTAGCTGGGCAAGCACCAGGTCCCTTGTTATGGCTGCACTATCCGACAAATAAACCAGATCGATCGTGTGATTTTCGAGCTGGCATGGGTGGAGGATAAGCTCTGAATCCGATGCTGCTTAATTATTGGTAGAGAATCACCACGGGCAAATCAGTTGTGGAATGATGCACAATGTGGGAAATTCGGAACGGAAAACGTTCAGTCGATGATGACACTGGCCCACCGCTTGACTCGTCTAAGATACACAGACTGTTTTTCTACGCGGGTTTGGCAAACGAATAATCATAATAAAACCTTTGTTAATTCCTTTTCTGCGGAATTAGATTAGACCGCCTTCCCGTGGTAAGCCTAGCGACAAGTGACACGCAAAGTCCCGGTTCCAATGCAATGAAAAGCAAGACTGTCTCGTGATACGGTACTATTAATGCGAATTAATTAATGACATGATAAATAATATACAAACCTTGATTCGTGAGGTATCTGGGTTAGGACAGTTGTCAAGGCACTTCCAGATATGTATGCATCAAATAGGAATACGATTGCGCTCGACTGTGTCGAAATACACCTTACAATCAAGGTGCTCCAAAAGGAAACAGCTCACCGCTGTGTCAAAAAGAGAATGCGATGAAAGTATACGGAGTCAAACAAAATAAGTCCAGTCAGGCAGTGACATGAAGCTCCCAAACGGTGAGCCAACGATAAGAGAGTTGGGCGCACACAATTTGACCTCTTAACAAACAACGACAAGCGTGCGTGCATGTGTGTGTGGGTGTGTGTGTATGTGTGTACATGAACAGGTGACACTCAAGGAGCCATCAAAACAAGTCACGTGCGTCGGTGGTAAAATAGTCGATAAATGCTAACTGTTGAACGTGTACAGAACAAGGATAGACGGAACATAGATCAACCAATAGTAAAATACAACTGGTGCAATGTGCTCAACGTATGCGAATACTTCTGGGACTATATAAAATCAAAAACTATGAGAACGGTGCATGATGTATCTGGCCAAAGATGTTCAACAGGTTACCCGTTTACTACAAGGCAGTGTTTTAATACGCGAATATCAAACTTCGTGCATAAAACCTTCTGCATTGGAATTACTTTTGCTTTGATACGGCGTACCTCAATCTCTGCAGTGGCATCACCATGACAACCTAAAGTCGAGCAAGACGGGAAAGATTGACATTAAACACTTTCAGTAGTAGTAATAGTAGTAGTTGTTGTTTTAGTAGTAGTTGTATTAGTAGTGTTATAAATTTCAGACGGCGGTGCTGGTCGAGAATAATTGTTTGATGGGAATACGGTCAGAATATGGTTAAACTGTCAATCATATATTAAATATCTCATGAGGAACAAGTCTGCAGAATTCAAACATATATATACAAATATAACGGTCCACTATCAGATACGCATTCTTGTTTTCACCGTACCAAACAGCAACAGTTAACTCCAACAGGTCTTGTTCATTTTTGGTCATTGAAAGAAACCGCTGATCGCATCTTTTTGCGTACTACTGACAAGTGAGTAGTTCAATGTTCAATGTTCAATATTCTTCAATTAGAGGCAGAGGGTAATTTCCCGTATGAGCCTCATCACCACAGACTCGAAGATCTCATTCATGATAGATCTGCATACCACATTGTTCGCAGGACGCTGTCGAGCTTCCTCTTAAACATCTTATCATTGACCTCTTCCACCACGTCAGCTGTAGTATCTTACAACAGTAGTATTAGCGTAGTTCTTCTCACATTATTCGAGAAATGACGGAAATTACAGTCAGTACTTCACTCATCAGTAGTCTGTCTTGTCAATGAAGAGTTGAATCAAATCTTGCCCACCCACCCATCCACCCACCCCTCCACTTCACGATGGCGGTGAACCTAATCACATAAGTTAAGGAGGCTGCTCATTCGGGCGTGATCCCCATGTATCGGTTGGCGAATGATTTATCCACACGCTACAAAAGAAAACAGAAATTCACATTCACCTCAGCTTTTTATCGACATTTGCTCTTCTAACAAAACAGTTTGAACAAACAATTAGCCGGGGACCAAGTTGAGAGATTTTTGATAACACCTGTTCAAAGGCAAATATTTATTTTTCTCAATTCATCTTCTGACCCGTGGAGATCACATGCAGAAGTTCAAAGGGGTTGAACATTCAATCGTCCAAAACTCACTGATCATTGACCAGCAAAGGGATATGGGGTGAGTGGAGGGATGTGTTTCACACCTCAATAATGAAATCCGTTTGTGATTCGTCATGCATGCGGTGCATCTTCGGTCAAAGCAGTATTTTTTTCTCTCTTGTTCATTTTTATTTCTTTTCTGGAACGGGAAAGTGGCCAATCAAAGGGCTGCCGTACAACACCCAACGGGGAAAGGGTAGGTGATGGCGGTGGGATTCCAAAACACGTGCTCCGGGGTGATAATTTGGTGTCCTTGCCACCGGACCGCCGCCATTGAATGATATCGGTCATTCTCTTCTGTTCATACAGTAGAGAGTTTGTAGAGACGCAACGTCAGGGAATGCTAATTTTTCATCTTTGCTTGGAGGGTGAAACTTGTGCTACTTGTTACCCGTTTGTATGATATGGGTCAGGTTCTCCTGTTTGTTGGTTTCGCAAACTATGCCGTCCACATAGGGCTTCGGGAATTTGACTTTTCCAAATTGGGGTTCCGGAACTGAGTTCTCCAGTTTGATCATGGACTCTTTCGCTAGTCGCAGCTGCAGTAGAGAGCCCATAGCGACATTATCCCATTGCAGTACAGTTCTTCATTCCGGAGAAAGCAAAAAAGTGCATTTCATGAGAAGTTTTTATAATTTTGCTGCCGGTACACCTAATATCGATTCCAACTTCAATCAATGAGGTTCCAGACGAGACATGTACATATGATCTGAGTGTCCGAACAGAGTCCCACAGAACACATTTCGAACCAACCAATTGTGGGAATGTTTAACGGAAATTCTTGTAATTACTGAGAGAGAAAAATGCAATTAACTCGTGTATCCCATGGAGTAAAACACTCACCCACGACCATCAATTTTACCTGGAGCCTTGGATTAATCGAACAAGCTAATCCGAATGTAACATTCTCCAAACCTCTGTTCCATGGTGCTCTTTAGATTACTAAAGCAAGTCAATCCTCCTCCAGTCCTATTTCGTTAGATCAGTACTTATAATAATCGCCGTAGGAAACTGGTCTTGGCCGATGCTCCTGTTTTCGGTTATCCGATTAGTGGACAAACCATGGAAACAGCTGAGACCAAATCTTCTTGACTAAGGTTAGTCAGGTGATTTTATTATCCCCAAATCACTGAACTGCCAACTCGGTGCATTTCCAGACGATTTTCGGTGATCCGCTTTGTGACGGATCAGGCTAGCTCTAACTGGCAAGTGTACTCATGGGGAATGTTTTTCCATTATCAACCNCCCACCCCCATTCACGATAAGCAGGTTGTTATCATTCGATGCTGTTGCCGGAATCGATCGGACCACAGATTCTGCTGATCGGATTGAATAGTATAATCTGGTATGTGAATAATCCCAAACTGCAGCTTACCGAACAAGACCCATTGGACCAGTTCCGTTGGCTCATTGACAGTTTAACATGGGCCCGGGAAAATAACGCGAAGGTATGTTTCTTTTCATTCATCCTCTTGGATACTAGCCGACGTTCAGCTGGTTGACACAGCCACACATGTGCATCTACAGACAGATTGTGTGACGTAAAAGCTCTATCGGGACAGAGTTCCATGAGCTCACACTGTGGAACCTTAGTTCCCGTAGGTGAGATCAGCGTCAGCATATAAGAGTTCTCTCTCTAATCTCACTAGTTCCATCCTACAAAACTGACATACAGAAGTGTGATCAAGTGCAGACAGTTGGTGATCCAGCAAAATAAGAGGCTGGAGTCACAAAGGCAGCATGTGTTTGGTGTGTGTGTGTATGTGCTTTGTGTGCTTTTATATATAATAATCATAAATCGAGTATTGTGCCATTCCTCCCCTGCTCGATCTTCAGGGCCACAATTTATCTAACTAGCTAGTCTTTGCCAGTCTATGGACTGCCTAAACGAAGCACCCTTTATATCTAGCTAGATACCGGGGGGGGATATGAACAAGTCAACAACCGAGCAGTTTTCCACATTGAATTGCGGTGCATATATCTGTGTGTGTCTGAGATGTATATGCCCCAGGCTGTCTGGGCCACAATGTTCCACCAAAGGGTTATGGTGATCACGGGTCCATTGGCACAATCGTCGGATCGTACGTTTCCGTGAGGTGGTTCTCTGCGCACCGGTCCAGCTGTCCGATTTGCTCGCAATCAATCAGCAAGTTTGTAGCAAACTTTAAAAAAATCCCGACTGTGGATAGTATTTAGAGTCATGTAATTTAATTAAGTCAACTCAGTGTGTGTGTGTGTGATTTACTCCCTGGACGGTGAACATCATTCTGCTTTGGAATCACGAAACCCCATAAAAAGTGTACCACTGACATGATGACAGGTTATGTAGATCAGAAACTGTATGAACCATCCAATCAGTGCCACTTGTTCTGAAATGCTGTGAAAACCAGTTAACCTTGGTAGCGTGTTCTGCAATGAATGTCTCCAGAACGAAAATGTAAACTAGCATGCGTGCACAAACTGGATAGAACAATTCAATACAAATATAGCGCAATATGAACAGTAACCAGACGGCGATAGGGAGACAGGTTGTTGAGATCACGGTTAAACAAACGAAGCCTTTGAACTCCGGATTTCCCTTCTCAGGAGAGCGTGAAATTCCAATGGTTGAACTTTAATATCAGGCAGAAAAGTGAATAGTCGGTTTCGAAACCCTAAACCTGTTCGGAGCGTTAAAAACAGATTTTGGATGGACTTGCTCTATCTTTCAGTACGGCGAGAACGGAATAAGTTGTGTTATGTATGGAATCGAGGATTGATTGGGAACAGCGATGCCCGGGCTGATCAGGGTTGTAGAGACAGAGCTCACAACCGAATCTACTTTAAAAGGGTAACGTCGTAATGATGTAATCGTAGTTACGGCTTCGTCTAGTCGCTTAGGTGGGTGGAAATGTAACTGAAGTACCGATTGGCCCCATGCCTTGATATTACGTCACAAGGGCCAGTAATTCCACTAGATAAAACTGTGACGGTCTGATCAAAAGCGTACTAAATCACCGTCTGAACAACAACGCGCAGAACAATCACATCGTGCGGCAACATGTCACGGGTATCCTAAGCAAGGTTACTGTCCCAGAGATAGGTATGCGAAATACAACGCACCTGATTGGCTGTTGGTTTTATGCACTTGAAACCTAGACTCCGACACACAACCCCATCTGCAAAATGTTCTGTGGCCGAGTAAGTAGCATGCTTGCGTTCTGCCTGTCTGAGGTCCCAATTTGGGTCGATCGATTCGCACTGCTGATGAGACTCAACTAAGTCGAAACAGCTGTCCAGTTGTGCTTTCTATCTTTTCAGTTCATGACGCTTCATTTGTCATATACACGACTAACTCACCTTTGAAACTGAACCTATTCCTCCATTACTCAGGTTATGAATGTTTCCAGACGAGTCCTAACCCCGGAGGCTAGTGATGACGTGAGCAAGGATCACTGGCCCGCAAAAAGCTCGCAAAGATTTTTTTTGCTAAATCGTTCAAATGAGAGATGAAAAGCGGTCTGATCAGCTGCTTGGTGGTCTAGTGGGTAGCATGCTCGCTTTCTGCCTGTGAATTCCCGGGATCAATCCCCAATTGGGTCGAGGAAATCGCACAGCTGATGAGACCCGACCAGTTGTCCAGTGCTTCCTAGCTTTTCAGTTCACGCTTCATTTGCCATAAACAAAACGAATTCACTTTTGACAATCATAAGAAAGCCAGCCGAGATGTACGCTCTTGGATATGAATTAGATGCCAATGTCTTGGGTCCGGGGTGCAACGAAGGGGTAGTCGTCTCTTGCCCAGATATAAAATCGGAAAGGTTCCAAAAAAACTAGGAAAATGGAAATGGCATGTTTCTTAAGTACAGTAAGATAAACATTTCCTGGAATTCAACCGTGACTTTGGACAGATCGCTTAGATGTGAATGCCGAACGTTTTGAGTCACATTCACAAGAATGAATATGACATTACTCCCAACCATGAAAAACATGCATATTGTTGTGGCTTACAACTGACTGATTTGTGTTCATACATGCCTGTGAACAAATTGATTGATCGATCGATCGGTTGATCGATTGACTGACTGTTTGAATGCTGGCTTGAAGGCATTCGCATGTAGTGCGACCTGTGAGCCGGAGTCGGCCTGCCTGACTGCCTTCCTACATGCTGATCGTTCCTGCTTGTCCTCCGGTTTATGAACCGGCTACGTATTTGCAGGTTTACAACAAACTTACTGCTTCCTTCGTTGTGTGCTCATTTGCCTACTTAATTTGGGACTCAGTACCTATGTTACTTCTTTTAATCGAATAACGTACAATTTCTCGATTTCAATAGTGGCTGGNGGTGGTTAAGGTTATAGATAATAGAAATCGATAAATAACATCTTAGGAATTTAGTGGCGCTAACGACTGATAGACGTGACACAGACATTGCAAATTCGTCTTCTCTGTGTTCCCTCTCCTAATATTGAGCCCTTGAAACAGTTGCTTTGATGTGGGGTGCACCGACTTGATCACCGGAAATACGTATTTTATCGAACTGCACACCTCAAGGTTAAGTTTAAAGGTCAATCGTTACTTTTCTTTGAACACATTTGCACCTTATTCATGATGAATGATTTTACGCCCAGAGCTTTCAGACAGTTGATTTTTCGATTAAATTATGGTAATAATTTATCATTTATTGATATATTCATAAGACTTAGATTTACCAGAATAAACATCCTCATGAAACAGTAATTATTTATTGGAAAAAAGTAAAATGTTTGGCTGCATTACACCAATTATTTTCTTATTTTGTAATGTACCTTTTGAATTGACGCAAACTTCGCTCACATGACCAAGGTCGCACCAATTATAATAGTGATTAAGAACGTTGCAGTGACCATCGAAATCAATGCACTTTTCCTATTTCTATCCATATGCTCTCAATATTCCAATCTTCCTTCTGCTCTGTCAATCAAATGGGTAACCTAAGGATAGCAACCAAAACTGTCGCACTTGGGAACTTGGTCACTAATTGTAAAAACTGAATTGAACTGAACTGACTGGACCGAACTGATGTAGTGGTACCATAATGGAAAGGGGAACTTCATTCCAGTTACCCTGTTCACCGAGCTAGGCAATTTGTTCGCAAACGTTTCATCACCAGCCGAGGTGACACCATATGGAATCTAAGTATCCTACAAACCGACTGTCTGTCTGAGGAGACTTTTGTCAAAACCAAGGGAGAGAACAATGCGGAAGGATAATATCAGTGTTATCTACAAAATAAACGGAAAAAACTGCCCAAAACATTATATCAGACAAATTGGAAGAAAACTGTCAACAAGGATCCGTGAACACCAATCGGCAGTCAGAAGATATGACCGACTATCGTTGATTTTCCTACACAAAGATCAAGCACGATATCAGTTTTACTTCGAATCAGGCAAAATTATCGACCAAGCCCGATCAAAATACGCCAGAGAATTTCTCGAGACTTGGCACTCTTCAATTAACTCAATAAACAGGCACATCGAACTGGGTCACGTGTACACACCAATGCAACTGAAGGATCACATGACGCAACAAAATGGTCACGCCGTGACCCGAGAACGGACGGAAACCGCAATCGGGACAAAAGGACAACCTCGCTCCCCCCCCACACACACACATTCCACCCTCACACACGCCCCGCATCAGTTTAGCAGCGAACCGAGTGAGAACAAAGGACAAATACAGTCGGTGGAGAACAACACATAAACAAACGGATACAAGCAAAACACCACCACTTCATATGCGCCGATGATATCACCTCGATTGGTGATGAAACGTTTGCAAACAAATTGCCAAACTCGGCGAACAGGCGAAATGGAATTCAGTTCACCCGAGCTACGAGAATCAATTTTCAATAGTTTGTCAAATTTTATTCTTTACTAAGAGTCATCTCAGATGAGGTCGATTCGACATCATCAGTTTGCCAGACAGTTTTGAGATGAAGCGATTCTACAGGGTCACTTGCTCCCTTTTTCCCTGTACATATGATATCCGCGGCCTTTTTTCCAACCGATTTTCACCATCAATTTTTCACGTTCACTGCCTTATTTTGGAAAACGTTTTATGATTATCGTTATTTGAAAGTTATATCTCAAAAATAAGGCATTGAAGTGCTTGGTTGCTATGGCAACCGATGCAACTAAGATGTCATGAACAAAAGAAATATTGTAATAGTTTGGTAGAAGGCCCGAGTCGGGATGCACTGTATATAGGGTCAACGAACAAACGTCCAGTGCGAATGACTGCTTAGGTGGAAAAGAGAAAAACACGGTTTCAGAAACCACATTCATTCATAGCTGGTTCTGTTGTGAATGAAGCAGTCGAGCTATTGGGAAATTTAATTGGCACACTAGAAATTTGCGTTTTACTTTTTCTTCACTTACTTTCGTCCCCAAACTGTGCATACTGTTCTCAAAAATTAGGATAACGCTATCACGCTCGTGGCATTGATTCTACTTATCTGAAATTTGGTACCCCATGATTTTAAAGTAGTAATATTATTAATAATCAACACATTAATAATAATAATAACAATAACAATAATAATTTTGTTTATAACTCTCTTATCGCATGGTTTTGTTCGGATCGTTTCACGTCCAATTATGTCTTCTCTTCGGAGGTGTAAGTTTGATTTCGTATCGCCAAACAATGATTCTCTACAGGATTTTATTTCTGACTGAACGGGAACTCACAACATCAGTATCAGGTTTTTGTTTTGTTTGTTTGTTTGTGCGACGGTCTGGTAAGCTCTTCCGAGGACAGCGAACGGGGGAGGAAGAACGATAAGAAGAAGTGCGGACATGGAACAATTTGCTCCGTGTCAGTTCGCGTGGTGCAGGTAGTTAGGGCCTCGGATGAACAATCACTCATTCCGGTGTTTAAATCCCACATGATTCGGCTCGTCTACGCTGCAGAGGCGCCCTAACAGGGCTCACTCACGAAGGTTCACGGGGCTTACGGTCGTGAAAGTCACGTTGACCGTGTTTGACGAGTATAGTTTCACACAGAACAGAATTCTTAAAAGCGTTCTGGACAAACTCTGAGCTAGCAATGTTCATTAAACTGAAAATGTTGGTGGTGCGATTGATTGAACGTGCCAGCAACCGCTCTGGTCACATTCAGGTTTTCATATCATGTAATCAAACGGAATAAAGTTTACTCTGAATGGTTTTCTCACAAACTACATTATTCGCTTCCAGGTTGCTTGAAGACGGAAATCGATGGTGTTGAGAGATATAGATAAATAAATACAACCGCTTAAACATGTAACTCTGATCCTTCTACCTCCAGGAATTATTCAGTTGCGTTAACAGAGAATGTCTAGTCCCTATTTCAAATAATACTTATTTTACAATTATCCGATTAGCGTTTATTGAAATCAGTTTTATCTCAACCATGTTTGTCTCCCGCACAAATGTAACATAGAATTATTGCACAGTCACAGACCCACTGTGGTGATCCAGGCCTACACGATGGCGCCTACCCTGGAGCGGCGCGTTACAGTTTCAGGACATTGGCGATCAATCAAGTTTGAATGTTGACGTCAATAGCACGTGCATAGCTTATGAATACACGTCATTGGTGGGTGGTGCCAGCCAATCCTAGACAATGCAGATAGAATCAATATTATGCAAGCAGTGCGGCAATTCAATTGGTTGAAGCCCTGGTAGCCAATGATCTCCCTTTTTACATATTATTTAATCACCTTCATCTCTTCCAATAAACGAACTACTTACTGCCTGTCCTCTAACCTTTTCCTCGCGTCTCGTTCTCGTGAGACATTGCTTCTGCGATCCCGTCAGTGATAGCTGATTATCGATTCGGGTCCTGTGATTCATATTGCGCGGTTGGTGTTCCGAATTCCATGCGTATTACTACTCTTACTACTACTACTACTACTACTACTACTACTACTACTACTACTACTACTATTACACTCATTACACCCACTCCTCCATATTTTGTAAATTTCAATTCCAGGCGATCATTGTTACTCATCTACCCCCAGGAACAGCCGAATTGCATCCAACAAGTGGTCAGTATATGCATCCGAATTACAATGATCAGCTAGTATCGATACTCCGGGAATTTTCCGATGTCATCATCACCACATTGGCAGGTCATGAGCATGTGGATGGATTCCGAGTGCTATTGGATGAGTCGTGTAAGTTCTTCTCCGTCGCTCGTCGCACACTGACGTTATTCCTGCAGAAATTTTACACCGAGTGATGTTCTGCCAACCTCACCCATTTTCATTCCAAAAAATCGCCCTCACCTTCCCCGTTATCCAAGCAAATCCCGCCAATCCGGCAAGCTGGAAAAGATGATTAAGGTGCTGTTGTCTTTGCGATTATCTTTCGGCAACTCTGTACAGACAATCATTGAACAATTTACTTATTTCTGTTATCCGATTGAGTGTTTATGAGTGAAGGGGTAAAACGGGTGACGTAAACTATTTTGTCTCGTAATGTCCGGGGTACTGGCTCTTGTGTAAGTTTCATTCGCTGGGAGTCCACTGGTTCATCGAATGGCCAATGCATTATGGTTGCTGAGAATTTACCTTGTCATAGCTGACGAAAATCCTTGGACAGCGGTCATTTGGGATTCAACTCCCTAACCGAAATTGTGCAGTTCGAGCCCAAATGAGGACAAGACAATAGTGTGCACTGCTCACTAACTTCATGAAGTTAACATGGTGCACTTTGACAGTCATTACCCATATACCTTTATAGTAGACAAACATATGAACTGAGTTGCGAGCCAAGCAGAGAAATTAGACCGGAAACGTGCACAAATCTCGGTTAGCTCCATTCAAGGAATGCTGCGGTAAAAATATGAAGCACACAAATTTCATCGTCTGTCAGGTGCACATAATTAGGGACTCAAAGCCAACCTTTTCTCGCGTCAAAGCCATTTCGTTTTGTGTAGCCCGAAAAATCAATCGCGCTCAGCTTATATTCCCGTTTGCACCGCATTTTTGTGTAGGTTGAATGATATCGAGTCTGCCCGATCACGGCAAGAGGGCGTCGAGTGAAATGAAACGGGATTGAAGCGCGCTCAGCTGTAAAGCGTCTGAGTGAATCGAATCACACATACGTGATGCGAGCAGCATGTTTCTAAGTAGATCCAGTCACAAAAGCTGTAAAACAAAATTCAAATCCTTATCAACAGCCTCCCTTCTCCCGCTTTGTGCTCCTAAGAACCATTTGTAAGAACATGAATTCCTCGTTGGCCATCCAGGGTCATGTGGTACCCGTCCGTTTGCGCAGCACTACACAATAAGATCGATAAATTTACTCAAACATCAACAACAACTGAACAAGTACGCATTTGTTGTATTATATTTCATTCTCGTTCCCTTTTTGTTCGTTAATCTCACCCCTGCCGATACAATTCAGACAAACCGGTTGGAACAGTGTTCAACGGGCCATCCGTCGATCCCCTGGTCTTACCGGAACGAGGAGATTTCAATCCCCGCATCCGATTGTATCACTACGATCGGGAAACCGGTACGCTTTTGAACTATCAACAACTTTGGTTGAATTTGTCTACTTCCGGACCGATATGGCAGTTGGAGTACACGGCACGCGATGAGTATTCTCACCTGACCGATCTCTCTCCGCAGTCTATGGCCGATCTATTGGATGAGTTTACCAAATACAATAATCCGGACAATCAATGGTCTAATTATTGGGAACATCAACTAGGATATCGCCCGCATGTGAACAAATCCACCTTGTTCCCCGGTGGCACTTGTCCCAATGTGGCTTCCGTGTGTCGTTGTGAACATGTGTGCGCAATGCGCCATTTGGATGCGGAACGGTGGGAAAAATGCATAAGTGATTATTGTATGGATTCAACCAATCCGCGATTGCCCACAATTCGGGAATTGTCCGTGCGTCAGTTGAATATGACTCAACTGATTGTCCTGGTCACCGTCGGTGCACTCTGTCTGATCACGTTTATCCTAATCACAGTGGTCTGTATCTATCGGAAAAAACAACACGGCGCCGGTGGCCGGTCCTGCAGTGTGAAAAGGAATCCACATTCCCTGTCCTTCATTCTCACCACGTGACTGATGGGAACGCGAGGAAGAAGGGGACAGACAATCGATGAGGAGACTCAAACAGCGAGGCAGAATCTGAAGCCCAACCAGGCGTGTATGAACGGTCAGCAGTTATCTGAACAGATGAATTGACTCCTACGGTCATGACAATCCGTTCATTATTTTGCATGTGACACAAATCACGCGCCTATCGGTGCATATCTGTTCGTTTTGTTTCGATTACGTCCGAAAGCAAGTGAGGTTGCTACTTCTCGAAATGTACCCTGTCTCCTCCCTCCCGTTATGTCCATCATCTCAAGCATCATTCAACTGGACTCGTTTTCTAATCGACTGACTACGAAGAAATCCCACAGTTAAGATATGTATTCTATTTTTCTATGACCAACTTGATACTGTTTGTCAGTGAAACCGACCGTTCCTGTTTCATTTCTTCTCTAATAAATAATTACATAATCAAATTTCAGACTGAAAATTGAGAAACTATAAAAAGGCGATGGACGAATTTAAACCTTGATCGATCTAATGATTGTGTATTCGAATTAGGTGTGATTGGTTTGTTTTGGATAGCCTCATGCGTTATTTCGCTTAGATATCGAACGGCAAATGATACGCAACTGTGAGTGAAAAAATCACGATATATTTTCGGTTCCTCGCTAAAATTTGACTTTCAAGTCTATTAATTAAGAAATAGAACGAAAGAGCTTCGCCCCATTTCCGACTATAGTATGTCTGCAGCTGAGTAATGATGATCACCATGGATTGCCCCTGACTGATACAAGACGACTATGTTGATCAAGGGGTTATTTCAGTTGTACACTGATTGCATAGCCAACAGATTTTCATAGTTCACAAGATATTCACCAATTTTTTGATGATCAAACCAATTTGGTTCCGACCGAATGAGATCAAACAGGTGCCCGATAAGTCTCTTCATCCTCTGAATGACAAGTATGAGCCAGAAAACCGACAAGCTTTGATACAGCTGAAGTTCCTTGTAGAATGTGCTGGAGAAGTCTAGTGCAATATTACGACCCCCTTATGGGAGTCACCGAAGCCATTTTCGAGATTTCAGCTCTCCCCAATGGCCGAGTTTACCGCGGAAAATACGTGTTCATCACAGGTATCCTCTGTCTGTTGCATTTCTACCCAACTCTATATTGAACAGGATCACTGAACAGAATTTTCTTGAAATACTGTGGAAGCGATGTTGTCTTTTACAAGGACGCATTTCTCATCTGCTCTTCCTTGTGATTTAAGACATCATTTCGGAAGAGCAAAGTCATGTGATCCAGGTCAGTTCACATGATATCGATAGCAGTTGCGATCGGGGTGGCACCAGTCCTATAATACACAGAACACCAGTACCTCTTCCAGTCGTCTTTTCCCTAATTACTGTGCAGTATAAATCATGTGGTGTTTGGACATCTACAGTTGCTTTAAATCGTTGGTGATCTTCACAGGTCGTCAGCAGCCGAGGCGTCGCACATATCCCCGCCATTAGTAGCTGAACCGAATAACTCCATACTGCCCACGATGCAGACCAAACAACAAAGGAAGATAGAGCTTATCGACCGCAAGGCACCTCATGATTCGATTGTTCAACCTCATGTTGGGCAATCGTAATCTAAGGCGGTAATCACTTTTGTAGGGAGATCAAGTAGGTGCAAACACATGTAATGCCCCCGTTAAGACGGAGCGCACAGAACCGGTCAGGCCACGCATCCATCCACTTCACACCACAAGTGCGTTCGCCACACCCAAAACCGAATCGACTCCGGATTGGATGATCAAGGTGAATCAGCTGGCTGTCGTCCAATCGTTCGAACCAGAGTATCAAGGACGCGAGCTGATTGGTGCGTCACCACGTCGCTTCTCATACGCTTATTTGCCGCCTATATTTGCGTATTGCGGCATGATCAGTAATATACTCTAAATGTCGTCTTCTTAGCCGTGTTCTCTCCGTATTGTCTAGGGGCTAGTTAAGGGGCGCTTATATAGATCATACGTCTTGGCACAACATAACAGCTCCGTAGTGAATAGGAACACAATGACTCACAACGCTTTCCTGCCTTGATTAAGTCCAGTTTTATCTTAATCCCTTCCTTCCATAGTATTGACATAGGCCACTGGTTTAGCACAACAGGAGTGTTCATTGTTTACCGATGTTTGATCTGGTATATCAGTAGACATGTTCTACATACCTAAGTAAGAAATAGAAATAAAGTATTTGTATCTCCAAATATCTATACGTTTCGGTGCTCATAAACCGGTGAAATGGAACACAACGTCGTAAGAACTGTTCGCTTACTGGGGAAACGGAATATACACGGAGCTGACCGTGTACCAGTTCGCGATAGTACTATTGATTGGTCCAGTCACTTGATAACCGACCCCTAAATTGTGTTTAACATGGTGAATTTTCGTCGTGTAAAAAGCACATGAAACATGAACTGACAAGCTGGACAGCTGTTTCGGCCTGGTTTGGCCTAATCTGAATCCATCGATCAAACTGGGGTTCGCGAACTCGGGATCTCGTAGGTAGAATCCAAGCATAATACCATTTCGGACACTAGGTCGACCAGACTGTTTTTCATTTTTTCATAAATGTGGAAGCACAATTCGACTTTGCGGGCCTCGCACCTCTCTCGTCTCAGCATCGGCCTCCAACGTCAGGACTCCGTTGGTAAAATTCCGATTCTATTTCTTGGATGAATAAAAGGGTTAGAAAGTAAGCAGTATATTTAGAAATGTCTGCATGAAATCATTTCAGACAAATAAGTGGTTCTCTCGTAAACACAGAACAGTCAAATGCGCGCTGTCACATGCCACATACCGTGTGGCTGTTTTCAGTCCAAAATAACTTTACTTTTATGCCACAACATTGTCAAAGATAATACTATAGAGCACAAGAGTAATACGCAAATGAATACACCAGCTGATGGGTGTGTTTGGGACAAAACATCAATTTGGACTGAAGGGCAAAGAAACCACAACATGGAATGAAGTGGGACAGGGAACACTTTGGTAGATGGAAATCACTTCCACTCACCACGTAGCTAAGAAACAAGATCTGCATCCAACAGTTTCGATGGGATCAAAAACCACTGGTGTCCGAATTGAAGAAGAGAGTAGACAGGTTTTGAAAGCGAATGTTTCATCGGACTTCGAGGTCACTCTCATGTGGATCTTCGATAACCAATGTAGATGGTCAGCTGCTCCTTAAATATGAATAGTAAAATTGTGTGCGGTCCAATCCGTACAAATGCAGGAGTTATTCCTTTAAAGAATGCAGTAAAAGAGAATATCCTAGTCGTGAGAGACTGATTCGCCAGAATGAGCGTCGGTTGTGCTGTAGTTCCATTAACATTTGGCGCCTGGGTTCGAATCCCCCCGGTCATCAAGTCCTTGGCCACAGATAAAAGACCAGAGTAGTGGCCCGGTGGTGCATTTTGCATTCGCGTTTTCATCACGTCAAACGGTTGGGTGAGAAGGACAGCGGCTGCCGCGGCACCAACTCCAGCGCACATATGGGTAGACTTANCGGGAAGCGAACAAATGTGGTAGTGTAAATCCGACAGGAGCCAGCAGGGGAGAGAATAAGAAACGAGAACGGAAGATTGTGAAATAGATATGGTAGTTCTAAGTTGGATACAGTTTTGTTCCGAAGATGAAAACTTGTCTCTTACTGTAAAATAATCAAGAATGTTTGAACAACGCAAGTGATTTTCGTAATAAACATACATCATTCAAACGATAGATGATAGTATACATCAACTACTGTACAACCTGTGTAATTTATTCAAAGCTACCCATTTGGAAAACCCTCCTTTTCGAACACCGTTGTCTACGGAGCATTGCACGAATGTGGTGGGACAACCGGACCAGCAATGCTGAGGTCGGGCGTAGAGTTTGGCGGTAACCGCGGTAGTCCGCTGGTGCACGTGGTCGACCACCATAGACTATGCTGGTTGGGACATGTGTTGCGCATGTCACCAAATAGCTTTCCACAGCGAGCGATGTGCATGATGCAAGCAACGGACGGAAAACGGTCAAGGGCGGTCAAACGAAGACCTGGAATGAGGGTATGGAAACTCCTNGAAACTCCTAACCAGGAGACTGGGTCATATAGGTCCAGTTAGGCTGTTTGACTGGGGACCCCGAGATCATGGTCACCGGTGGTTAGAGACACTGAGCGATACGGCTCGGTATAGCGAACAGTGGCGCTCATGCATTTATCTATTATTCTTGCAACCCAAGTTCATATGAATTCGCTGCTTCCGCTTGAATTTACGTTTAACATTTCAATCTTCATTCTGCTGTTTTATACCAATGGGTGACTAAAAGACAGTAACAAAAACCGGCGCACGAAATTGTATGGTTAATGATTGTACAAATCAAAACTGAAACTGAATCGTCGCATTGATAGGAGTCATACAGGCAAAAAAGATGTCCTGAGTAATAACACTTACGGGCACATCGGCAAAATATCCTGTCCACAGAAGAAATCTTTTCCACTGGTCGTACCCAACCGCCTGTCCGACGGTCATCAAAGCACTACGGCCGGCCATCATAGTGACTCCGCTGTACAATTCTGCTAGTCCGCCTCGTCTATAGACGCGGATAAGACCATCAAAACAATGTTTGTAGTTACGACGTTCGGCCGGTGGTCGCTTCATGTCGTTTTGCATGCGCACGTTGATCAGATCAGCCGGTTGACCACACACTCCACCAATGAATCCGGATACACCGGCTGCACCGAGCTATGGGGGAAAAAACAATGGACGATGAGGCTATAGTGAATTAAACATGGAGAACCTACTAGAAGATACCGGTTTCTTTATTGGGGTAACACGTTGTGTTGTATCACGTTGCAACCGTACACTAACATGGGGAAGTCAATTGGATGATGAAGGTGATGACGTGCTCACTCGTTCAACCAAGCATACTAACTAGTTCGAAATGAAACAGCTAATGTCATCGAATGAAAGCCAATCTACAAAGCATATATCTGAGGCTGTAAACACACTGGGACAATCTGATCACACTGTGGATCACACGATATTGATTGGTTCATTTGTGCGAGCATAAATGCCGGTTATATGCGGACAATGATAAATTGAAAATAAGTTCCCTGTCTAGTGACAAAGCGTCGAGAAGGATCCTGTCTCACCATAAGTAGGCTCGGAAATTTTCGGATTATTCAAGTGTGATTAACCAAAACGCAACAAATCATAGACCAAAAGTGAAATATTGGTCGACTGACCACCGTCTAGCGGCTTTCAATGACATGAGACTGGATTAAGTAACCCCTCATGCATAGCAATGTGTATAAGCATACATAGGATACTCAAAAGAAGATTACAGGAAGATTTAATCAATTGCATAGTGAATTTCGTCGTGTACAGGGCATTCAAAGAGTGAAGTGAATGGCTAGAAAGCACTGTATAGTTGTTTTGACCTGGTCGGGTCTCATTAGCAGTGCGCGAATCCATCGACCCAACTGGGGATCGAACCCGAGAGCTCAAAAGTAGAACGCAAGCATGCTATCCACTCGGCCTTCGAGCAGCCGATCGGACAATTCCTCATTTTGCCCAAAACGATATTGCACCATCCACCATTGTAAAGCTGTTGCGGGTATCAGACACTGTTCATCCCAGCACTAGCTTCCAGGGTTATAACTCGGTTGGAAACACTCAAAATGTTATTGTTTGTTACATGAGAGTAGTGGATTATAATATTGTATTTCACACGCATCTGAGACCAGACTGTGTGCCAAACTTCTCATGGTAGAATAATCTTTAAGGAAGAGAAAGACGTTTCATGATTTGCATGTGAGCGGAATATTGCCAGGTTGCCCAGGCCAAGCCAGGTGAATTTTCTTGAGGAATCCACAACCGAAGCCTTCGGCTAGCTAAAGCCTGACCGGCAAGTCAGCGGCACGGTATCTAGTTCATCGGATAATAAGCCCTTTGAACGGGATCAAACGTTCAAGGTGCCCATTACACCTCGATGCCCACCTGAGCCGATGACCATTACCACAACCACAATTCAGTTCACCCGAGCTACAAGAACCGATTTTCAATAATTGGTCAATGTAGCGTTGTAGATCCTCCTCTACCAAGTGCACTGAGTTTGCTCTCTCACCAGTTGTGCAAGGTGCTTCATTCTTCGTCTCACTGGTTGTAAAAAAATAGTGAATTACTGTTAGCTTATCACCGTCTGTGCAACGTAACCGTTTCGCCCGCCACAGGGAAAGTCTAGAGCACGAGGTTAGAACCCTGCAACGTGGTGGAGTAGGTGAACATCGTGACCAAAATAGGAGTGCTGTTTGTGTAGTAGCAGAGGTCGCTTGTTAAGCGTATCCTGAAGCTAACCAAAGATCCTAAATGCTTTAGAAACGATAGATTCCAACCGACCTCGGAATAAAAACGAGAAGTGGGTGGAATCTACAAGGTTAATTCAAGAGAAGCTCCCCTAATGACCGCGAAAACTGGCGAAACAATGTAGCTAGTGAAATGGAAGAATCCGCTGTTCCAGTGAAAGACACATGAGACTGTCACGCAACAATTGTGGTCGGTGGATCCGGGTAACAAAACCAATAAACGATAAAAGTGGACAAGCCATTCACAACAATAAACAGTGACCAAAACAATTCAATTACTTTCGTCTATCTGGGTTATTTCCTGGTTGAAGCCAAGTGAATAGGAAAAAGTAATAGTCTTGCGAGCAAGCACCGTAGAAAGGAAAGGCAGTAAGACCTGACGAGTTTCTACTCATGCCTTTTTAATATGACAGGCGATTTTCTCACGTGCACTATTACTGTACTGATGCACCCCCCATCTGGTGATAGTATCTCTCTGCATGCTGGCGAATCACTGATAGTTCATGCGTTCAAGGAGGCATCGAAAATTGACTGTGGGAATAAGTTCAATTACAACAGTCAAAAAAAATTGTCTGTATCTGTGATACTTCAAAGTCTGGCGTCTCTGAGATAAAGTAATGTCTACGACCAAGAAGCAGAATTACTACCAGTGTAGTTTAGCTCTACTCCCATCTTGTGTGAGTAGTATTTTGAGAAGCATACAATGAAATTGCTTCCACCGTTTCTTATGATAATTGAAAGCAGTAGCAGAATGGTGTATTGTGTGTTCCTGGAAAACCCGTGAACAAACCACCAATCTGGAGTCGTTCGTTAAAACACAACTTCCCCGGTTTGAAATTCTGTGTTAGTTCTGTGTAACCCGATTTCCCCTCTACGTATTTCATTCGTATGAGAGAAAATTCCTCAGTTCTGCTCACAACCGGTGCATTTTCTACACCACATTGCGATCGTACTGACCCGATTCTGACGCCACGTCGGGTGCTTAAACTACACAAGATCGATCGTCAACCATCAATCACATTGTGCCCAGACCTAAAGTGTGGCAATGCCCATGAGGCATGGCACTCTAATGAGCTCACCCCACTTGAGTAATTCTGCAAGATAACGGTAAGTAAACCAAACCGTACGAAACCAGCAGCGATTTCTACTGACAGAGGTGATGAACCCATTAATTATGTGGAACAGCCGTGCAATTATGGAAAACGGCAAAACGGAACGTAATATTTGAAATAAAGAACACAATAAGGGCACATTGCTGAAATTGTGAAAAGTTCAGTAGCCTCGATGGGATTCGCACCCACGCATGGACGCCGCCTGTGCACGCTCTACCAGCTGAGCCGCAAGGCCACACCGACAGCACTGATCATTTCATATTTGGATATTTTGTGTAGCAACTTTTAGAAATATAACCTCAAACTTCAAGGTCATAGTGTGCCAGTTATTTTTGATTTAAACCTTTTGAGGGGTTCACCATCTCACATCTAATCACTTTCTCAAAGCAATAATTTTACACCGGCACATGTGCAGGACCAACATATTAATTATTCTTATGATACGGGTTTCCTAGATCACACTACAGAAATGTGTCGATCACTGAATAATCTTTGTCCACAGTGAATGGCTCTGTTTTGTTTCAACGCACGTTGAGGAATTATGCTCACCTGTTCGTAAAACGTGACTTGTCTGGATTGACCGAATGAGTTCTTGTACACCTCGTACAGCCCGAAACGAGGCAAGGAATAGGTGACCTGACGAAGCAACGATGCCGAGATCCCATTGTACAGCCCCAACAGACCGTCTGACTGAAGCACGCGGATTGCTACCCGGATGAAAGTGGGATTTTTCTCTCCAGGAGTCTGGCACAGGAAGGTTGATTAGATCCCACAGAGCAGTTTGGAAACAATTGTTGATGGACGAAAGAGAATAAGAAAAACGGAATTTCGTACTAACTTATATTCCACGCACAAATATGTGATTAATATTAGGATGAAATGCCTTTTCCCTCGCTGTGCGGGACTCTTACATAAATTCGTAAAAATGTATGCTCCAGACTTCATGATAAATGAATTTCAAGGAGCGCAAAAACGTAAAACGTGCACGACCGAGGTTTATTCCCAATCTTGTTAGATGTATACAATACGATCCACCGGACGAGCTTTTAGCTTTTCCTTCTTTGACAGCTGTTGATTTGCGGACACCGCTTTCTTAATAGATGGTCAGTAAACCGGAGGTTGGTGTGTGCGTGTGTGTGTGTGTACGTGCGTGTGTGAAATATAAATGAAATGAAGCCTCGAAAAATTCCTTTATACAAATAAAATAAATGTCTTTTACGTCCTTTTTTCTATTTTTTTTCGGTTTGGTGACCTGACCACTTAGCCATCACCGCCCGAGGGGCCAAATATACAGGATCTATCTTCTATGCATGTGTTCAACCAAACACTCAGAAAACACAGAAAACAGGACAAGGACTGTTTATACCTAGTTAGCGACCATATCTCCCAGCCTCCGAAAGAGCCAATATATTGTCGAGGATAGGTGTCTTAGATTGTGGCCGGTCAACCTATCACCACACCCCGCCAAACGTTTGCATACGTCCAAGGGTCTCAGGTACACAGGTTATGTTGAGGAAGCCTTACTCACTTCCTGCACATGACGGAAGGGTTTTACATCCAAAGTGATGAGACGAAAAGCCACAATCCGGATCCATGAACCACTGACTATGGGAATTGGCTAAAAAGCCTGATTCCAATCAAACCAAAAGGAGGTGTACTAAAACACTGCTCATGTCTATCCTGTTCTGGAATTGGTCTCTGGCTTGCTTGGACTTCGAGTTGTGGTGGATACCTTGTGTATTGAGTTGATTGGAAAAATTATCACGCCATAGATTTTGCTTCCGTTCGATTCGAATAACTGTGCACCCATGTGACCCATTACACAGATGACCGTCGAATGTACTTTACCCACCNTCATGCCCTGACTTGGTTCGATGACGTTCTTTGTACTTTGTTGTTATTGTTCGCATACCGCCTCTAAACATTTGCGCGTAATCCACCCTCATCGTCCTTTAACTGTCGCTGTTCCATGCTTGCCAGTTTCGTGCATCATTACACACGAACTACTCTGAAGCTGCTACCCCACTCGCATTTTGTTCTGCGTCATTTCATCCCGTCCACTTTATGTTGAACTTCAT